ACTGGAGCGGTCAGCGTGGGTGCTGGGCACCCTGTGGGACGTGCGACCCAGTTGGCCTCTGTACCAGGTGTCCCCTTGCTTCTCTGACTGTTCACTCTTCTTGCTCTGGGCGGGGCCAGCGTTACAGATGACCAACCACTTGCAGGCTCTGACGACTGTGTTCATAGGTCATGGTTTTGAGGACGGCGTGTCAGTTTTAAAAGCACCTTTTGGAGGGGAAGAGACACGTGTGTGCGGAACTCGTAGCTCACTCTTTTCACAGGCTCCGTTTTGAGTGTTGTGGCTAGTCTTGTTTGTTTAGTGTCTTTGTCTCGTACCTGTACTGCCTTTCTGCATATCTTCTCTCGTCTTAGGTGTAGGGCTATTATCCGCAAGGTCCAACGTTTGAAACCACCACCGCTCTTCAAGAGAGAGACAGGCTTTCTCCACAAAGAGTTACGGTCTCGGAAACTGAGGGGCAGTTCTACCCTGGCCTATAGGGTTGCAATGGACTCACCCATCACAGGGAGAGCTTGGCTTGAGGTTTGGTAACTCTTATTTAAATTGCTCCGCCTCCCTTTGGGACACTTTTATTTCTCCTAAAATAACTCAGTAAACTATTTGCAAACGATGCTTGATGTCTGTCAAACTTTGGAGGAAAGTCTTGTCTTCTACGTACACCTTCTGGCTAATTTCTGGATTGAATTTGAGAGTGTGTAATTTAGCACATTTCTGTTTTTCCAACTTAAACATTTGAAGTAAATCCTCAATTACAAACGTCTGCATTGTTGTGTTTGGTTTGGGGGGGGGGTGCTGGCAGCATTTGGACGTGCCTTTTTTGTGGGGGTCGTTTCTCTCGAGTGTTGGGGATGGCCTCCTTACTGTTGCATTTGTTGAAACGTGGAATCAGCTGAGGTCTCATGGAGAGGGCGGGTGGTGATTTGGAGTCTGGGAATCTGGCGTGGTGGGGGGTGTGGATCTTGCTAGTCAGCCACAGAAGGCAGATGGGGATTGCATGGGGGGGGCGTGGCAGGGGAACAGGTGCAGACGGCATCTTCACAGGTGGTCAGCTATTCATTGCCCTTGATCTTCACACCCAGGCTACTTACCGGGGTGTGCATCCCGGCTCCCCAGCCTTGTGCTGGCCAGGGTGGGGCTTTCCGGCTTGGGTGTCTTCTGTGGGCACTGGGCAGCCTGTCGGGTGGGTGGGTGTGCTAGTGAAAGCTGGGCCCACCGCCTAGCTCAGCATCTGTGGGCCTTCGGCCAAGTTCCAGGGAACACCTACCTGGCTGTGTGTGAGCTGGAGCAGTGAGCCCCAGAGCACCAATAGCAGGGCTTGGCCATGGCCCCTTGGCCCTGGTTTCAGACTGCTCCAACTCTGCTGCTTGTCGAGAGCTGGTGAACCCTCGGCAAACCCTTGGCTGCTGACCTTGGCGAAGTGGGCAGTTCTAACTGGCCTGTGGCCCTGCGGGAGAAAGGGCCTGGTTGCCTGCTCCTGTAGGAAATGCCACGAGGCCGAGCTGTTTGGTCACAGAAAGTGGCTGTGAGTTAACTCAGGGGCAGAGCGTTAGGCAGTGTGGCTCTTGTAGCCAGTCTCTACCTCCCACCAGGTGACCTTTCCCTATGTGAGTTTGGTAAGCAGGCGGGGGAAGACATTGATGGGATTCACCTGTGAGTAATTGCCAACAGACGTGTGTGCCTTCCTGCCAGGTATAAAAGGAGGCTTCTGAGAAGCAGTCGAGCGAATCCTCTGGATCTGAGCTCTCTGTGCAGTAACTTTGGGGTCCCGATGGCCGCAGCAGCACCAGCACCAGCACCAGGAGCCCAGAGCCTGGGACAGGGGTGGATTGCCCAACCCATGGAGCCAGTTTTGTGCAGGAGACTGGCTTGCTGAGTGGGGTGCCTCTGGGCACTTGATTGGGGAAGCTGGGCTTGCTGACACCCCGGGAATGGAGCTGAGTGCCTTCAGCTGGAGCTCCCTGGAGTGGGGTACCCCTGGGATCTGGGTTTGCTGACCCACAGAGCTCGAGCTGAATGCCTTCAGATTGAGGCCTGCTTATAGCAGGAAGTGTGCGTTATGGTCACTTATTAGCCCTGAAAGAGCTCCAACATGTCCTGATGAAAAACTGTGTCCCCAGCATTTCTCGCTGGCGGCACGGCCTGTGTCCTTCCTGGAGAGAAGGCCTCTCAACATGAGTAGCGTCTGTGGGTTCTGGGTAGCCATTATAGTGGGGAATAGCACAGCACAACGTAACACACGACAAAGAAAGCTCTTTCAGAAATCAGATGGATGCCTATTGGAGAGTTTTATTAAATGAACATCCCGAAAACCCTCTGCCTATAACCCGTTGTGGCTCCTCAGAGAACCTATCTTCATGTGAACCTTTATACAGTCAAACCTGCGCAGCACACAGTAAGGTGGGGCCCTGTGAGAGGAGGGCAGAAGACTGGGTGTCTTCCCACAAGAACAAGTGATGGAAAATGGCCAGGTTGCAGCCTGTCCCAGGGTGGAGACCCTGGAAGACTGGGAACGGCAGGCAGTCCCAGACGGTGAGATCCACATTCTGTTTTTTGCACACACCTGTGGGTACACACACCTGTATGCTACTTTTTAGAGTGGTCTTCATTCTTCCTAGGAAGGTTGATAGCAGGCTTCCAGCAGAGGACTCAGAAAGGGTCTCTGAGGGCTCAGGGAGTCCAGACAGGGTGACAGGCTGAAGTGAGCTTAGGGAGGCTCAGGTGCTGTGGGGTGGGGAGGAGCGTGGGCAGGGTCTGCCCGCAAGCCACCTATAGTCAGGGTCATGTGATTACAGGACAGCACCAAACCACATCTCATGCAGAGCAGACGTCAGGGATCGGCACAGAGAGGCAGTGAGACACAGAGAAGGCATTCCCAGAACAAGGAGGAAGCACCCATGTACTCCGACTCTGTGTGGCAGGAGCCCCAATGCAGAGGCAGCCCAGCAATGGGGAGTGTCTGGAAGCCTTGTTTTGGGGAACCACTAAGAAGTACACTACACTGGGGCAGGCACCCTCCCATCTGATGGTGTATAGTAGCCATACAAGTCCGCTGCCTTACTGCCGCCAGCTGCTCCCCCTAAGGGCCCGTGCCTGCTGTGAGAGGGTCATGGTCTCCAGAGCCGGAGCCCTGCCCTTCCGTGACAGACCTGGGCGTCGTGGGAGTGTGGGCTACTCGGAGGAGCCAAGGATCTCCTCTCAGGGCCTGGGGAAAAAAACCTGAGCTTTAAACGTGTGAGGGAAAGGGGTGGGCTGCCTTCCAGAAAAGGTGGAGAACAGGAGCAGAAGTACCCTGGTAGCAGAGTGGGTACGCAGTGGGCTGCTCATCACAAGGTCAGTGGTTCGAAACCATCAGCTGCTCTGTGGGATAAAGATGAGGCTTTTTACTCCTGTAAACACAGCGTTGGAAATCCACAGAGGCAGTTCTACTCTGTCCGGTAGGGATGCTGTGAGTCGGCACAGACTGGAGGGAAGGGAGGTGAGGAGCCCTGATTCCTTATGAGTCTGGTCTACCTGTGGCTGTAATCCCATTTGGAGGGCATTCCCCGATACAGGATTAAGGTGGGCTGTCTCTCTAAAACTACTGTACGAGAGGGTGTAACTTCGGATACCCCCTTTGTTTTTCTTGGGGCAGTGGTCTGCTAAAAGACAAAAACCACCACTCCCTCAAAGCCATTCCTCAGTGTCTGAGACCCTTCCGGACACAGCAGGCCCAGGACCATGGGAAGAGCACATCCAGAGCTCTGTCTGAAGTGGCTGAGACCACAGGCAATGGAGACTGGCACGGAGACCGTGGGACAGCCAGAGTAGCAGTGCCCAGGCTCTGGGACCAAGAGGGAGAGCGACAGGCGGGCTTTCTGGCCCACAGAAAGGCCGAGGCCAAGGGTCCACTCGACTGAGAGGCCAAGGACCCAAGAGACGGGCTGCTGGCTGAAGAGCGGTTCTGCCGTGGACCAAAGATTGCATCCTGACTGCTCCCTGATGCTGATTTGTATGCTCCCTGTTAACTTCCCTCATAAGCACCCTGGGAGTGCCCGCTGTGAGCTCTGTGTGGTCACTTCGACAGGTTCTGGGACTCAGCGTGGAAGTGGAGTCTATGATGCAACTTGGAGGCCTGTCTGACCTGGGTCTGCATGTGTGTCTCAGAGACCCCCCACCTGCTGTCTTGTACATCAAAGTCCCCAAACCTGAATACCCCTGCCCACCCAGGTGCAGTCCACAGTGATGGCTACTTGGAGCTAGCGCCCGCAGGGCTCTGGCTCAGGGAAGATGGAGTCTTGGGGACAGGGTGTGCTGTGAGCACCTCCTGCGGGGCACGGCCACCCTAGCCCATCCCTGCCCCTCAGGGCACCAGTGTTCCATGCTCCCTCAGGTGGATCAGCTGGACGGGACACGTTCTCCTGGTCTGTCCAGACCCTTCAGGCGGCCATACCGACCTCTCTCCAAGGTGGTCTCTTTGGCTGGGTAGTTGGATTTCCATTACTCTCCATCGCAGTCTCTAGCCACACAGCCCTCTGCCCCTCCTGCCCTGCCCTCCTTTAGAATCGCCTGCCCGACTTCCTTTAGGACCCAGGTTGGGACTCATCAGTAGGACCCTTTCCTCTGGCGGAGGGCTCCACCTGCTGCCCTGACCTTGCAGGGGCCCTGTGGTTCCTTCTCAAGGGTCTGGGAGACCTGGCTGGCTGTGGGATTGGGGATGCCTTGGGCCGCTAACCACAGTTCAAAACCACCAGCCTCTGCTGGAGAGAGTTGCAGTCTTGAGGACCCACAGGCTTGCCGTGGGTCAGAATCTGCTCTTTGGCAGTGAGGACCCGCAGGGCAGGTTTTGTCTTTGTTTGAGGACTTCACAAACCAATGCTGGCTGCCGCCTTCTTCTTCCCTAGACAGGAGCTTCAGGCCTTGAGCGCTGGCTCCTGTCTCTGGCCCCTGCTGTGCCGCATGGGTGCCACGAGGCCCTGTCCTTTGTCACGGACATTCTCTCTGTCTCTCTGTTTTCTGTAGTCAGAAAATGGGTAAGAAGAGTCGCGTGAAAACTCAGAAATCAGGCACTGGAGCTGCAGCAGCTGTGTCCCCGAAGGAGATCCTGAACCTCACCAGCGAGCTGCTGCAGAGTAAGTCACTGCGCAGGTGCGGGCACGGCATGCTGGGCCTCCATGTGGGTGTGTCTGCACTCGCTTGTGGGTGCGGGTTTGGGGGTGTGTGTAGGGGGAATCGCTAGTGTGAAGTGTGGAGTCCCTGTTCCTTTTTTGGGGGGTCACTGGTGTGGAGTGTGGTATTTCTGCTCCTTTGCGAAGTGTGGAATCACACAGCTGCCTTCCACTTCAGCGTCTGCTATGTGGCCTGGGCCAGGAGGGAGCGTGTCCCCCACCTGTGACGGTGGAGGCAGGGAACTTAACTACTGGCGCTGTGGAACTCTCAGGCGGCCTGCAGGAAGCTAGAAATGCCACGCTTCGCCGCGTCACCGCCTGGAACTCGGGCTTCCTGGAGGCCAGTGGGCCAGGCATGAGGCACATTTCTGACCTCCTCTGGGGCCACAGAGTACCTGCCTACCAGCAGTGCCACAGGGCACGGAGGGGCCTGTGCAGTGGCCCCCCCAGCAAGCCAGCAGTCTACGGGACTGCACCAAAGTGACGGCTTTCCCCAGAGTGCCGAGTCGCTCCCGTGCCCACACGCTGAGTTTGAGATCAGGGACACGAGTATCTGAAGGGCCAGACTGTGAGGGTCGTTGTTGGCATCTCAGTTGTGGAGGTGATTTGGTGGATGTGTACGCCTCAGATTTAGTTGTGGTCACTCCATTAGCTGCCCTTGCCCCCTATGTGGTGGGCTAAACCGTAAGCATAGAACTTAGCTCTCTGTCTCCTGGACACAAAGAACCCTTAGCTCCCCTGTAAGCAGCCTGAGGGCAGGCTTACATCATCCCGGTTGTGTTTGTTGAAGCAGGAAGACCTAAGACTGGCTGTCCCCAATAGGTAAGAGCCACACACCATTTCTTGTTTTTGTGAGGCGGCATCAAGTCAGCTGCAACCCACAGTGACGCTGTGTACAGGAGAACCAGACCGCCGTGCACCGTCATCGTCACAGCTGTTAGGTTTGGGCCCATTGTTTCAGCCTCTGTGTCAATCTCTGGTATCCATTTCCAGGGACTGGTCCCTCCTGATCACATGTCCGAAATTCTCAGACGCGTTCTTGCTGTTGACTCGTTGGTTCTTCTGGCAGTCCGTGGTACTTTCAAAATCCTTTGCCACCACCATAATGCACGGTTTCCCCTCCTCGCGTCTAGCTTTATGTGCCTGTGAGGTGATTGACCACCGTGACTGGTCAGTTCACCTGAGTCCTCAAAGCATCCTCCTTGCTTTTCAACACTTTATTGTTGTCTTGTGCAGCAGATTCACCCAATGCACGGGGACTTTTGATCTCTTGACTGCTGCTTCCATGAGCATTGATTTTGGATCTGAACAAAACAAGATCCTTGACAGCGTCAACCTCGTCTCCATTGATCATGATGTTCCCTATCAGTCCAGTTGTGAGGGTTTTGTCCTGAAGACTGGCTGTTGGTCTTCATCGGCAAGTGCAACGTTGTGTCGTGCACTTTTCAGATTGGCAGTGAGCCTTCCTCCATCCTGATGCCCCTCTTCTACATTTGTCATTGCCTTCTCAGGCTTATTTGATCACATACAGATTGGCTCAAGGGTGAGCGGATACACCTCTGACCGGACGCACACCCTTCCTGAGTTTAAACCACCACTGCCTGAGCAGCTGCCTCTTGGTCAAATTCATACTTATTGTGGGCTGTTCTGCAGTTACCTCTGCTCAAAGGGGTCTGGAGTCGGTTAGGATCCACACAGGCGAATGGTCAGTGAAACACAGGGAAGCATCTATCTGCTCTCCTCGCCTTTCAGCCAAGGTCCCTCAGCCCTCGTTCCATGTCATCCTGGGAATCCGGGTTGAATTTCTGGCAGCTCCCTGTTGATACCTCCTGCAACCGTGCATAACTGGTGACTAATAATTGTTGGCCATGTGCACCTATCCCTTTGACAGCAGGGGTTCACCAGGAGCACGTGGAAGGACTAAATGGATGGAGTTGGTTAAGGAATGAGCTGCTGACGCATGGGTGTCTGTGGGCCTCACAGCAGGCTCTCGGCTAAAATGGTACCAGCTCTCTCTATAACGCTCCCAAGGCCTCCTGACAGTGTCTCCCAAGTGGACACCAAGTACCTGCTGACTGACTGGCCTTCTGTCCAGTGTGACTGGTTCCCTCAGAGCACCATTGCCACAGGGCTGAGGGGGCAAAAAGATGTAATGGCCATTACCATTGCCTTCTCTGGCGTGACCTGCAGCAGTTCCGGGCCATGTTTGCTTTTGAGCTCGGCTCCTCAGGTGACCCTGTTGACGGTTTGGTCAGAGGATCAAAGAGAAGGTGGTGACCAAGTGAAGCGGACTTGGAGAACATGGGACCCTTCTGTGTCTGGTCGGGCGGTGGTGCACGAGCCTCTTGGGACAAGCCGGGGGCTCACTCGGAGAGGAAGCAGTGCTCAGCCGCCTGACCTTTCCGTTTCAGAATGCAGCAGTTCGAGCCCCGGCCCGGGCAAGGAGTGGGAGGAGTATGTGCAGATCCGTGCTCTCGTGGAGAAAATACGCAAAAAGCAAAAAGGTGCGTTCTCTAGACTGGGCTTGCCCTCAGCTGAGGATGTCGCTTGAGTGGGCGGCAGGGGTGCTGGGGTTCCTCGGCGTCTGCGGGGCAAGGGGCGGGCCAGCATCTGCTCTAAGGAGGGGAACAGTGAGCTCAGGGTAGGTAGGACACTTGTCTCTTGAGGCTGAAATGAAGCAGCATTTATGTGCTTGCTCTGACTCTGTGAAATATAGATTAGTGGCAGTTTGTTGGTTCCAGGCCGTCTCCTCCAGGACTTGAGGCCAGCCTGTAAGTGGTCAGCACACAAATGCACACTGATTGGTGTGTTGTAGCATGCATGTGTGTGTGTCTGAGAGTGTGCTGGTCAAGCCTTCTGAGGCTGTGTTTCTGCGGGGTGCTCCCTGGGTGCGCAAAACACGGACTGAAAAGCAGTGTTTTGAGACCACCCAGTGGTGCCACGACAGAACAGGTGTGCTCTGGAAGGCAGGCACCAGGGTTCAGGACGAGCTCGTTTTCGTTTTGGGGCTTGTGTTTTGCTTCACTGAGAGCGGCAATTCAGGCCTCCCAACCAGGCCGGCCGCAGGGCTGACTGAGGTCCAGCCTCGGGTCAGTGCCTGCTTTGTCAGCTCTGAAAGCACAGACTAGCCAGAGTGGGAGCAGGTCTCACTGGGGAGAGGAGCAGCTGCTGCCCAGGCCGTGGCGGTCACCAGCCTGCCCGACTGTCCACCTCCCACAGCAGATCCTTCAGTGAGTGCCAGGTGGACACGTTCTTGTGACAGCCAGCCTTTCTCAGACCACCCTGCATGACTTGAAACACACAGACTTAGGTCTGATCTCAGGCCCAGGAAGCGCCATCTAGCCACAGGCTGACCCTGCTCCGTGCACCCCACTGGGCCAGTCCTTCCTCCTCCATGACTGTAGACTGACCTCTAGCCTGCCTGGCCCCATTAGAACACAGGCGCTGACTACAGGCCCAGCTCCCCAGCTGCTTCTGGCCTGCCCCACCCCACCCCAGCGTTCACCAGGAAAGCACAGCTTCCCCCACCTGTGGTGTCCAGTCTCTGTAGACTTTGCCATGCCCACCTGCCAGGGCCTTTGTGAACCCCGACCTCCCTGTGGCCAAGGAGGCTATGGAGCCGGGCTGCAGCGCCACCTTCTGCCCTTGGCGCGTGTCTGCGTGTGTGTTTGGGGAAAGAGCTGGTTGTATCACGCAGGCCTTGCTCCTGGCCCTTTCCCTGCCCTCCCCCTCAAGGGTCTTTTTGATTTCCTTGGTGGTCCCGTGGAAATATTGGTAGGTTTGTATTTCTAAAAGTCATGTCATCGGTATCGTGCCTGATGCTGTAAAAAACATACTGATCTGTGTCGATGCACGTAGACCTACGTCACTTCATTGCTCTGCAGAATTCCTCAGTGGAGCGCCCGCTTTGTTTCTTCGTTGCCCCTTTTGTGGGACATATGGAGCCCTGGTCGCGCTGTGGGTTAGCCTTTGGGCTGCCTACCACAAGGCCAGTGGTTCAAGCCCACCAGCTGCTCTGAGAAAGGTGAGGCTGTCTGTTCTCCTAAGGACTGACCGTCTCAGAAGCCCTCCACTGGGTCTCTGAGTCGGCACCAACACGTCTGCTCTCACCCATGCAGTCAGGACAGACTGCCTTTTGTTCCGCTGGGAGCTAGGGTACGGGCTGCGTGGCCTGTGTCCTAAAAAGAGCGTCATTTTCCTGAACCCGACGGGTCTAGGTCTGTCCGTCACCTTTGATGGAAGCCGAGAAGATTACTTCCCTGAGCTCATGAGATGGGCCTCTGAGAACGGCGCATCTGCTGATGGCTTTGAGATGGCCCGCTTCGAGGAGGAGGGCTTTGGTTTGAGAGCCACGCGAGACATCAAGGTGAGCTGGCTGGTGCGGTCTGTGTGCATCCTGGGCATGGAGTGGCCTCCTGGAGACTGGCTCACCTCTGATCTGGGCAACCCCCTATCTCTAGCTTGACCTCTGAGTCCCCTCTTTCCCCTTACACCCCATAGACCTCCCAGGGCCAGCCTCTGGGGAGGCAGGACTCCTGGCTCTGTCTGTAACTGGGTTGGAGGTATATGTTTTTGATCTGGAGGTGGGTCGGTGATATTTTGGGTGATCATCTGCTGTAACCTCATGTCTGAGTTCAGAGTTTGGGTAGAGGGAGAGGGTGGGACTTAGCTGGAACACCCCCACCCCCCAATGATGGTTTTGATCACGTTGTAATGAACCTCTCTCATGGATAAACTACATGCTGGTTTGTGACCCCTTCTCAGTAATCAATTGCCTTTGCCTGCTGTTCACTTGATGAACCATCCAAAACCAATCACACCCCAGGCAGGCAGTCACATCCTCTGTGCTGCTTGTCCCCTGGGGAGGGACCACACACACACTCACACACACAGTTAGGTGGCCGGCACTGGTGAACCAGACAGCGCTGAGCGAGTGAGGGCATACCATCCTTCCACAGGACGTCGACCCACCTGTCCTCTTGGCCCTGGCTCCCCGTGTGCATATTGGGAGCAGTATAGAAGCACACGCAGATCAGAGGTTCAAAGTCATTCCCATCAACACCCCAGAATGGGATGTTGTTTTGACCAAAAGCGGAATCCATAAACCTTATGCTTTTGTAGGTCACTATTGTGCTCTGTTGCCCTGCCTACCACAAGGTTGGTGGTTCAAACCCACCAGCTGCTCCCTCTGAGGGAGGAAGATGAGGCTGCCCAAACCTGTGAAGATTGAGTCGTGGAAACCCCACGTGGACTTGATGGGGACCCGAATCGGTTGGAGGGCAGGGAGTCTTGGGCTTTAAAGGAAGCTGGGAGGACGCTTCACCTCCCTTGAAAAACTAGGGCGGAGACGGAATTCACATGGGTTTCAGCTTTTGTTGGGGGCAGGGTTTTCTATTTGTTTCTAGAAACTGAAGTACAGAAGACAGTGTTTTGCTACTCACTGCCCCAAAGTGCTTGCTCTGCTGCAAGTGAGAGTTGGGTGGTTCTGATGGCTGCCCTTCTTGGTGGGCTTCTCCTCCACCACGAGCCACCCCTCCAATTGCTGCACTCTGGGCGTGTTTGCTGTGCAGATATGGAGTGTGACTGCAGGTTAAACTGTATTTGGTGTCCGATTGGACATCTGCGGTTGAGATTTTAACAGCCTTTGATGATACCACTGTTTTCTTGTCTTTTTCCCTAGGCAGAAGAATTATTTTTATGGGTCCCACGAAAATTACTTATGACTGTTGAATCTGCTAAAAGTTCAGTGTTGGGTGAGGATAATTTCTGACTGTTCGTTCAAGGCAAAGTGCAAGTGACAAAACAAACATGTGGCATTGTATTTTGTGCCGCTCAGTCTGGTAATTTGAGTGTTGCTCTATGCGGGTGAGCTGCTCCTCCCCTCCTCCCCACCCTTTGTCCTGTGCTCCTTGGGAGAGAGTGCTCCCAATGACATAGTAGAAGTGGTTTCTTGTTTGCTTTACATGTTACAAGAGCGTTTCCCTGTGTCGCTAACGTTGATGTTTTGAATGCCTGCTTTGTAAAGAAGTGTGCGGAGCTTAACAATGTTAACTTCTGGGTTGATTCAGGGCCCTTGTATTCTCAAGACCGAATTCTTCAAGCCATGGGGAATATCACCCTGGCCTTCCATCTGCTGTGTGAGAGGACCAACCCTGACTCTTTCTGGCAGCCCTACATCCAGACCCTGCCCAGCGAGTACGACACCCCTCTCTACTTTGAGGAGGAGGAAGTCCGATATCTTCAGTCCACTCAAGCCATCCACGACGTCTTCAGCCAGTATAAAAACACCGCCCGGCAGTACGCCTACTTCTACAAAGTGATCCAGGTGAGCTCCACGGTCCTGTCCTTCTCTGCAGGTCCCAGCCGGCTGGAGTGGGGAGGTAGGGGGTGGCGTATCTTACTCAATTCTGAGACGCCCGGTCTCAGTCTGCGATTGTTTTTGCCCGTTGTCTTGGCGACACCCTCGGTGATGCTGCTTTGACCACCACTTGGACCGGGGGTGACACCAGCTGCCGTGATTCTCCAGTTAACATGGGGTCGCTAGGATTTTCTGGAGCCCAAAGATCACCCCATCAAATTCTAAAAGCTGTGAGATGGATCCAGGTGCTGAAGGGTGCTCTTGTGCATAGAATTCCCAGGAAGTTGAGTGTCCATTTTCATATCTTTAATAGATGTTCAGAATGAAGGAATGCTTTTAAAGAAGTTTCTGGAACGCTGTGTGTATCAGTGTGTGTGTGTGTGTGTGTGTGTGTGCGCGCGCGCGCACTAGTGTAAAATACTGACCATTCATTTCTCAGGGTCTGCCGTGTTTTTAGTAGCTGTCAGTGGAAAAGTCCGTCTGAAAGTGCCCATCGGGTACCCCTGGTGCCGCTCATTCCCAGCTGGACAGCAGGGGCCAGGCCAGTGTCACGGCTCCCTTCAGAAGCCACCTTGCCATGCCCCCACTGTTCTCTGCCCCCACTCTGAGCCTCAGTTCCTGGGCGACTGCGGGTGGGAGAGTCCTGTCTGCATGCAGTTTGGGTAGATGGTGGGGCCCAGCTCGGCTTTGTCTGTGGGGCAGTGGTCATCTCACTGGAGGCCCCCAGGCCAGGCTGCTGTGTCTGCCTGGTTTCACTGCACAGCCAGGCACCACTCAGGGTTGTCTGGGTGGGCTTTCAGACAGACTGAATGAGAGGCGAACTCCCGTGTCCTGGAAAGTAAATCCCTGCATTTGTCCAGACCCTACTCTTCAGCAGGTCTTTAGGAATTATACAGATGCATCGGTTTTCTTGGAAATCTTTAGGAACTAGATTATAAAACTGTATGGGGTTTTTTAGTTGGTGTGAGAAAGTTATGGTGGAGGCACATCACACTTGGACTATTCTCTCTCTCTCCCAACCCCCCCCCCCCCCTTGGCCCCAGTGTCCTGAAG